CCTTCTCTGTCAAAATTGATATATAAAAGGGTAAGGGGTTGAACTTTGGAGCGGAGCCTGCCAGTGAAAAACTTTGTTGGGAACCTCCCGGGACTAGCGCTCGAAACGTCAGCTCGTCTATATCTCTACAGTAGTGACAAACTACCTTATCAATTCAGTTAATAAACTTAGGATCACCAGTGCTTTTTATTTATCGTGAAATTAATATGCAACCTTATAACCACTATTACTTTAGATAAGATACTGAGAATGACATGAAATAAAATGATAAAAGGAAATTTTTCATATAACGTAAAGTTTTTTTGCTGTTATTTGTTGATAACTTCCGCAGTAGTGGATGGCTGGCGGACGGATTTGCTGTTACCCCAATGCAACAGTATCATGTAGGTTGCTACCCCGCTGGTCTCAACCGAAGATACTATGAAAAACAAGCACGATTGGATGCGTATTGTTTTGATGTTAACTGAACGACTGAATGATGGGGATTGGAATAGCTCCGACAGTGTGGTTCGTGTTGCCTTTAGATGTGCTGCAATTTCGACAGCATCTTAACCTTTTTTCCAGGGCTTAGAAATTCATTGCACTTTGCATGGGGGGAGGGGTCAAGGTGATTGTCAGTTAACTACTGTACAGGGACAGGGCTAACCCTGGTTAAATTCCCTGGGAGTGGGGTTGGGTTTCAAGAGCGTGGTTAATGTTTGTCTGCAATTTTCTCTGCAATTTTGATGCAAACAATAAACACTCCGTTATGAATGTTTGAAGTCAAGCAGTAGTCAAGTTTGAGGTTTTAAGGACTTATTTTTTTCTAGGAGTTTATATTGCCTTGAATTTTGGAGACAAATAGCTTTAAAAAACTGGCTGGCATGGAAAATGGCTTTGTAATCGGTAACATTATCATTTTTGAAGAGAGCATCGTTTCAATTTGTCAAATTAGAGGTAGCTGTCCGCTGTGTCTGCTAATCCATCAGGAACTAGATTTCCTGCTAGGAGTTTGCTTTTTCAGTAATGAGGATTAGTAGAGGGTGTGAATGGGGTTAACCGACTACCGACAAAGGGCTAAAAATATTACTGACTACCGACAAAACGAGTAAAAAATTACCGACTACCGACAGGAAAAATATTAACCGACTACCCCCACATGGGCTGACATTTTCAATATTTGTTTCAGAAAAAAAGAGCATTTTGAATTTTTTTCCAGCCGTTAGGAAGTAACCTCTTTAAATTTATGACTCATGAGATGGTCTAACAGAAAGAACTTACTCTTTTGTTGATACGGCTACATTACTACAACCAATATCATAATCTACCGACTTTATATATTTTATTGAAAAGACAAAGCTGAAAAAACTGAACATTTCTTGATTCGGTCCGAGAAATGTTTAGATTAATCCTGAAAGAAAATTCTTTCCAGTTTAATGGAAAGCACTATCAGTAAGAAACCACAGTACCGCGATGAGCACATACAGCAGTTTCCTTTCCAACATTTTCATGGCCGCATATATTGAAACACAAAGTTTAAGCAAAACCGTCTTTAAACCAACTGTTTGAAAATGCTACATAGATGATATTTTTTCCCTATGGAACATAAATAAACCAGACATGGTAGATTTCTTCAAATTCATGGAACAAGTAAACTTACTTCACCCTACTGCTCTACTGGCTATGAAATTTACGCCCGAAATATGTGACACTGAGACAATCTTTTTATACCCCATTGTATACCAAGGCACAACATTCAACGAAAAATGAGAAAAAGCTATCATTGACGTAAAGACGTATATACATTTTCACCTCTTACCACCCACCGAATGTTAAAATGGATTTGACCAATGGATTTGGCCTTGAGTATCCTACGAACAAACTCCTCTGAGGAAGTATTTCAGATTTCAAAAAGCGGTTGATGGACAGAGGCTGGCCACATAATTTTGAAATAAAAATTGCTATTAGAAGTAAAACTCACAGGAGAAAAGCAGCGCTCCTGAAACAAAACAACAAGGAAGAAAAAGAAATATTGCCTTTCGTGACACAATACAAGCCCTTAGTGTCCATTATAAAAGAAACTTTAATGTAAAAGTGTAATCTCATACAAAACCAACCACTACCTTGCCAACTTAACCCTAAGACGTACACGCAAAATCATACCCCCCACCATGGTACAAGAGGATGGTAGATGGAACCCCTCCCCAGAGTTTTTTATGTTGCAGTATTTTGAAGCGATTTTGCCTTCACTGGAAAGCCTTTGATCTTCTTAACAAGATGAGGTATATTTTATCAATGGTGGCACTGCTGGAGGCCTGTTACGTCATCAACGATGGTCGCCATCTTTGCCGCCATCTTGGATATTACAAAGAATTACAAAACAGGTTAAAACAAAGAGAAATGTTTATTGCTTGACATGAATAATAACACATAAATAAGCACTTTGCATGATTTTAGCTACAAGATTTTTCTTTTATTGTTGAAAAAAGTTGAAAAAAACATATATTTTCACTCAAAATGGCTTGACAACCTTCTACTTATTACGTCATACCTCGTAACCATAGAAACTGATCATCACTGAATTTTTCTCAAAATGCGTGCGAGAGATAAACGAACATCTACTGAAAACCTCAGGTGCTGATGTTTTATCCTCTTGGAAAAATCCCAGAAAACCTAAAGGGGGTGGCATCCACCCCCCACCCCTTGTATGTCCGAGGGTTAAAGTGTTATTTCTTTGAGGAAGGAAACTTATGGCAAAGGATAGATGTGCAGCCCGTCACCCCTTGCAGTTTTCCACTAAGCTGATAATTTAAGTATCCATAAGGCTGGTGTCCATTAATTAATTAATTCCTTTTTACTGTGCCGTATAATCGACAGGGAAACCAAGTTCGCATTTACAGTAAAAGGTTTGGTGATCTTATCAGTACGCATGATATTCATTTGGCAAACAATGGTGAAATAAACGACCACAGGAGCCGATCGGCTCCTGACGATCATGTTGCATAAACAAACAAGAGTTAATGAAGTTTAAGTGGCAATCAAATGATGCATTCTTACAAGTTTTACTCTTTCCCTTCCTTTAAATTACCAAGTATTTAAAGGAACCGATTTTCCATACACCAGCTAGTATTACAGTTTAAGTAAGCAGATAGCATTAGCAGAAAAAATTTGTATTATGTCTTACTTGGGTAGTCAGCTCTTTATGCAGCTGTCGAGCAAAACAACTACCTGGGGGCGAGGGTACTCAAAAAAAAGTTTTATACGGGGAGGCTTCGACCTGAGGTCCGACCCCTTAACCCTCTTTAGTAAAATCCAACTAGTGGTCTATAATCAATGCTGCGTTCTGATTGGCTGAGCTACTACTAGGCTATATGTTATAGCCCGCTAGTAGCGAAAAGCGCCGGCTTTGAAAATCAAAACAATGGCGGCTGAATCGCGTTTCGCTAGCTAAAGTTGTTTTGTCTCGTTATTTTTGACCAGCTAGTTGGATTTTACTAAAACGATTATTCCTCTGGCCCTCATGGCCTCTGAGTCAACAGCCCATTCGGCCTTCGGCCTCATGGGCTATTGACTCAGAGCCCATCCGGGCTCGAGGAATAATTGTTAAATATACCATTTTTGACAAAAAAATACCCCTTTATTTGTATACCTCTACTGTCAAATGGTACCCCTTTTAACTGCTATAAATGCACTGTTGTTAAAAAATGAATAAAAAGCAAAACCAGAACATTTTCTCGGTTTTTTCGCAGCCATAAAATGCATCTGTTAGCCCTTTTAAGCCTTTTTACAGACGGAAATGACACTTTTCCTCACTCTTTCATATACTTCAACAACCTCAGAAGCCTGAATAAGGTAGCCCTTTGGGGCACAACCTTCCTGTATAGGCCATTATAGGGAGTCCCCCCATCAACAACTTCAGTGAGAAATTCTTCTGTAGCAAACCATAATACCCCGGGAGCAGCAGATATGAAATACTTTAAAAAAAAATTAACTTGCCCTTGCAAATAGGAGGAGTGGATTCACATACCGTAAATCCTCTATTAAGCTCCTTAGGGGGGTTATTTATTTCAAGCCCATTTGAGGGGGGTGGCTTATAAATAGAGAATTTACGGTAATACTGAACTCAGTTATTTATCAAGGATAATTTTATTCTTGTATTTTTATGTATGCATGAGCTTTATTTTTTGCAAAACAGATTTGAACGTCTGTGGGTAAACACGCAACATCGCTTTTCAACACGCTCTTCAGCAACGCTACAAAACTTAAACAAGTTGCACGTTTTTGGGGGGCGTTTTATTGTAGGAGGGTCTTAATCGGGTTTAGCGTTTAGTGTTGTTAGCCTTTAAGCATTGTCAATTCTTATATGCTCTCGGAAGATCGGTAATAAAATCACTTAAGACATGAACTTTGAGCCTGTGATCAAGAAGCATGTGCAATAGTATTCTGGGAAACCTGGAGAGTGGTGGGAAGCAATCTCGCATCAAGTGCACGCCATCCTTTGGTCAGCGTAGTGGGCGAGGTCGAAACATCATCATGGTGGTATCTATATCGACAGGATTTCCCTCCGGTGATTTTAAATGTCTAGTGAACTTTTATAGAAGAGGGGAGGAATTATAACTGAAATGCTTTACTGTTACATTTTTTTAATTTGTTATGCTTTTAAAGCTCTTTTTATGTACAACTGTAGTTTTACCCATTTCAATCTTTTCTTAGCTTAGTTTCTCGATTATCATGCATTCAACTATTTATCTTTGTTCCTTTTAAAATTTTCCGATTTACGTCTTCATCGTCACTAGCTTCAGGTGGCACGTTGTAATACGAATGAGCTTCATTATGTTTGTTTACGTCCAAATATGGTGCATCCCTCTGCATTATCGCCTCCAGTTTTTCGATAATCTGGAAGAAACTGGGACGAGAGCAAGGTTCCTCTTTCCAACAGTGGGTCATCAGCTCGTATCTATCATAGAGAACGACGTCAATTAGTGAAGGTTTTAAGGGGAAATCAAATCTATTTCCAGATTTTAAGACGACAATTGTAAAGAAACGTACACTTCATCAGAACACATGTCAGGCCTTTCCATGCGATATCCAGTGCCGAGCAGTCGAAACAACTCTGTGTTGGTCAGTGTGGGGTATGGCACGCCTCCTGATGATAGGGAGAAAAAATAATCATAAATTGAGAAATCATACATTTTTAAAACGTTCTCTATACAACTTCTTATTGGAGATGTCATCGTCGATTTTTAACAATAGTCAAAAGAACCTCTGCCGTTGTGGTATAACTCCCCTCATGCCCACTGTGATGTATTTTGCAAAACTTAGTCAATGTTGGTTCGATCCAAGAGGATACTGCCAGATATGGGCTATATTGTTATATGCTGCTGGATAAAGGGTAAGGTTCCCATGCACTTTAGTCTGGGATAGGGTATTTTTCTTTAGAAAAGGGTATCATTTTCCTGGAAACTAGGAAACTAATATCACTTGGTTGAAGATTTTAGTCTAGACTAGGGAAATAAGTGAAAAAAGTGAAAAAAGTGATAAAAGTGAAATGGGGAAATTTGAATTTACCCGCAGTCCTGTATTAATAACAAAGAAAGCGTCGCTCTCAATAAGCTGCTGGAAAACATTGAGATTAGAAAAGGAAAGATTCTTGGAGTTGGCAAAATTCAGGTGAACTACGTTTGGTATCGGCTCAGGTTTTCCGGGTCCCAGCGGCACATCCTCACCCAAAATATCCCCGGGGACTCAGTAGCCTTTGAACTAAAATGTATCATTAGAAGATCTGAAGGCAGGATGCGTAATTATAAGGCTTCTGTTTTCTAGGTTACCACGCGCGCATTTTCAAGATGATGTCGGATATCATTTTTGTCTTGTATCTGTCTTAAGTTGTAGCACTTTCTTGACCCGGGCCTAGATCATACCAAAAAGCCAGAGTTGCAGGTGATGAACAGAAGTGTTGTCAGTGTCCTGGAGGAAGAACACTTATTAATCATAACAAAAGAAACATACAACCGAACAAGCCAAGCCACACCCCATCATAATTATAGGGATAGGGGGTTGTTAAAAGCGGTATAAGGTTGTTAGATTAGATTAGTTCACACCCCAACACTTACCCAAGGTGGACATTTCCCAAAGAAGAACACCATAAGCCCATCTACGAAGACAGTAATGATAAAGCAGTCAGACTGGATTATAATTAAGCTATTTACAACCCACTTTATGCGTTTCTATGTTATTTATATTTCATGAACGTGCGAGCTAATGCGAGGGTCAACCCCTCGTGCTTTTAAATTAGCTTCGCGCTCACTTTGTGCTCGATTTGCATTGTTGTACCAAGGCATGAACTGGCTAACTGCATTCGGCTAGACAAACATGGCGAAGAGACGCGTGTATCCAAGCTCCATCCCCGTCAGTAGTATAAAAGATGGGGTAACCGGACCATTTCGTTCACTTCGTTTCACCCAATGTATCCGATTAGCAATTAACTCCGTTTCACATCGTTAATTTCCCCATCTACTATACTACTAATTATTTGATTGCGCCTCTTTTTTACCATTCATGGGCTACCGTTAATTTCCCCATCTACAATACTACTAATTATTTAATTGCGCCTCTTTTTTACCATTCATCGCGGCCTTGGCGTTGCACTATATTTTATAATAACCAAAATAAAAATTAACAAAACTGGTGGCCACCAGACCTTCTCAAGAGGGACCCCCCAAATCTCCCAACCCTAAACCCATTTTCCCCGGTCCCTCTTTTTTGTTCTCCCCACCTCTCCATTCTCCTAGGCTAGCCATCTTTGGAGTCTCTACACTTTTTTATTTGTTATTCCTCTATGCTTGGGACTAAAGCAGCACTTCTATTACACCTCTCACTGGCTATTAGCCATCCTCTTTCGAGTTGTCCTCAGTGTAATTATAGCTCTACTCAGTATTCTGACACCTTTTTGAGTTTTTTTTTAACTTATAGTTACAAGCTAACATAACCCCGTGGGGTTTTTAGGTTATTAACAGGGTGCGTTGAGTACGGTTAATTGAGAAAGCCCCACGTTTTTCTAACTCAATTAACCATTCTCGCAGTACATAAATGTATATAGAATGAGCTGTAATTTAGCAATTCGTAAAGGACTAAAGAAGGAATATTGTATTTGTCCATTTTGTGATAAAACTAGTGTGTTACATGATTGTTGTGAAAATCCGGGTCTGATTGATGATAGACACATTCTTTGTAAAAATTGTGGCACTGTTTATGGAAATAGAGTTGCGAACGAGTTTGTGAATTTTTATGAAAATAGGTATATAATAAGGAAAAAAAACTATTTGTCATCGAAAATATCATATTGAAAATGTTCTTAATGCGTTAAATGCAAATCACGGAATTGATTCTGTACCGCCGCACAGAACGCTGTAGCGTAGATAGTTCCACCAGAAAGCAATGTCCTTTGCTTTGTAAACACTTTTCTTGAGGTGCTCCAATCATTTAGAGGCAGTCTCGTGAGAAGCGGTTTCCCGAATTCATGTTGAAAGTCATTTTCCTCCCAAAAAATCTTAAAGTTAACCAGTTTTCCTTCAAAAGCTAAATCAGTTCGCTCTCACCTAGCAAACTGCGCGCTTAGAATAATAAATTCAGTGACAGTTTTTGTCTAAGTACATGTACTAAATACAGCCACCTTTGGTATTTTTGGCAGCTTTGGCTTTTACAAGAGATAGTTTACTGCAGGGAAAAGTCAGTGTTTTAGTTACGAACGAGTTCTTACAAGGACTTGGAACAGTGAACTCACACATCACTTTTGGTGGTGTAAACGCCTTGATAAAGTGCTTCTGGGGCCATCCACTTCACAGGAAGTTTTTTAGACTTCCTTGAGCTGTACACATCTTCATATATCTGTCTCATCAACCCAAAGTCTGACACTTTGACCTGGTTGCCATGGCCGACCAGTACATTACGGGCAGCAAGATCTCTGTGAACAAGATTGTTTTCGGCGAGATGATTCTAACAAAAAGGCGATAAAAGAAATGGAATTAATTGTCGACGTATTACAATAACGGGGTACCAGTGGTATTCAGTATATAGCTGAGGTTGACGTTTTCACATGACGTCACGGTGGCCATGTTGGTGTTCCAAACCAATCCTGTGGGAGTTGAACCCTTTTCTTATGTAAAAAAATTCTTTTGTTCTCATAAATTTGCATAGATGCTGGCCACGTGAGTGAAAACGCTCTATGTGGAGTGAATGATTGCATGTCATAAATGTATTGAATAAACCATTCCAGTTCGCTCGAACGCGTAACGAAATCCGAATTTAGCCAAAACTATGATCTATTACCGTTACGAGAAAATCTTTTCATTCAGGCAGCCCTTTATTTGGAGAAAACTGAGCTTCATCTTTATCTTTTTTTCCACTGATCTCTTTTGGTTTCTTTTTTCTCCTCTTAATGGGACTTAAGAACTGAGAGCTCGGCTAGGCAGGTGGATTGGCTTAATGTTCCTAGTCTATGCATTTCCTACCATGTCCCAAGTATTAGTCGAAACCAGAATCAACGTAACGTTATCCAGTGTAGAATAGTAATTACCATTCCTTTAGCTATTTGCCAAGCAAACGAGAACAGTTGTTGGGTAGAAAAGTTATCGTCTTCAGTAAGACCTTCGTCTGGGTTTTGGATTGAAAGCGACATTGCGGCATCTTGACTTTCAGTTCCTGTTGATGCTTGTGGACTACTTAGCAGTTCCCTGTCAGTTACTTTGAATTTCTCTTCCTAAATAAAGTGGTAAACATGCAGCGATTGAATTAAACAGTGCAATTTGTATAGCATCTTGATCAAACCAACCATCTGCAAAACACTGCAGTTTATTGTCAGGTTACTTAGCAAGGAACTATTACTAATAAAAATGTAAGGAATAGACGCTATTACTTAAAAAATGAGTTGCGGAGACCTAAGTTCACTATATCAAAGCGAGGCTTAGTCATATGAGAATAGCTAAAATTGTATTATGAATTTAACGTGGCAACCATTTCCCCCCGAGACACAAGGTTTAATCTTATTTCGGACTCTTTAGAGGGACATGTACCCATACATCGTATGCGGGTGATAAGACCACCTGCGCTTTGGTAAAATGATTCGAATATTCTAACGCTGCAGGAGAAATGTAAGCACAGTATCGTAGGGAGGCACAAACGCTCTCTCACGGTGAGGCTACGTGGGACATTTTTGAAGACGCTTCAAACAGTTATAAAAAACTGACCGGAAAAGCAAGGCCCGAAGACGGATGACTATAATTCGCGTGAAAAAAACTGCGTTTTCAAAAATATCCGGATTTGTGTGGACCGGGCCTCGGTCAAGTTTACATAATGCGCGGGAAATTCTTTCATAAGCGACAAGCAGGCACCTTCATTCGAGTTCATAAAAACGTTATGTACTAATCTATTCTTTTATACCGAGTAGAAACGAATTAACTGAATTTTAAAAATTATGGGTTACTTTCTTACATCATGAAGATGACGAGAAGTCGATGCTTTGTCATGTGTGTCCTCATTGTCATCTTGTGGTTCTTGAGTCATTTCCATGTTCGATTGTGGTTTCTCCGCTTCCTTTATCTGAACCTTAGCTAGAGTGCTTTCCTGTGTGAGAAGAAGGGGGGAAAAGGAAATTTATTTCTGAAAGAAATAAATGGTTTTATGCTTAAAGTGACTGATTAATGTTTCATTTCTCCCGTTATTGGGGAGGGGGCGTTCCTGCCATCCGGGACATTATATATTGTGTTTTTATGACATGAAAGCGAGGCACAAGGCCTCTCTGCTCACTGCAACAAGAAAGTTGGAAAACATTTTTCCCTCCCTTCCCTCCCGTTTTGCTCCAATATCATCACCCGGATGGCGGGTGTGCCCTCACCTTTGCTGGGATAAATCTTCTTGTGTGTCTGGACTTTCCTAGCTTGATATGCTTAAATGAAATAAACGGCCACTCTTGTGGCCAAATTTATCCCAAACTTGAATTGTCATTATTGGGTATCCCAGCAAACAGAGCTCACCCAAAGCAAGACTCCACCAACAGCAATAACCGACTCAATAATACTATCTAAAGGAACATGGAGCATAAAGAGAATCTTTTTTTTTTCTGTCTAGTTCTATCATTAGATGAGTGGGTAGATAACCAAAACGACTGGACGAACATTCTGGAAAATAGTTAAAAGTAATACGCAGAAACTATCGAAAAGAATTTAGAACCAATCCTACTTGATCCCTGGTTTCTCCCTGATCTTTCAGAAACTCTTTGTCGTCATATGCTCTATCAGAGGCTCGATGCTTGTTTAACTAGATATCCAGCAAGAAGCGAAAAAAAGAGAAAAATGAAAAAAATTCAAAATACTTGCGTGTTAGTACGTTGCATTAAGTAATATATAGCAGATTTAGCCAAGCCTAAAAGCGAAGCTTCCGTGTTATATACTTTCAATTTATTAAAACAATCAACTTTAATTAAGCCACCACAAAGAAATCTACCAATTTATAATGAAAAAACTCTTCTGTCATATATTTATAAAAGTCTGCTGTTTACGGCAAAATTACAAGTACACATAAATCATGATCAAATACGATCACAGTCTTAGCTTATTGTTTAAATGCGAAAATCTTCAGCAGTGGCCAATTTACGGGTTAGTCCGCAAGCATTCCTATGGAAAAGATCAACACTGAAAGTTGTGGTCTCCATACCTGATTATTGCGCTATAGGTAAGACTTTCCAAGCACAAGTAACCTGACCGTATGACAGCATATATTATATGGCTACAATAGTACGTGTGCTCTGATTGGCTGTTTTCTTGTAATGACCAGGGCCCGGTTGCATAAAACCAATACTTAAGAGTCCACTTAAGTAGGTCACTTACCAATCCGTCATGGGTACACTTACGGGTGTTGCATGGAACGCACTTAGCACTCTCGTAAGTTACTGTTTTACGTGGTTACGGGCTCACTTAAAGGCACACGTAACTTTGATATGGTACTTTATTAATGACTCACTCTTTTTTTTTAAGCTAACCATCGGTGAGTGTAAAGAAAGTTTTAAGTCGTTTCGAACACTTTTAAGCCCCTCAAAAAAATGAAATTTGCATGCAATCGTTATTTTTCTTCAATGCCTACTGAAAATGATAATTCTTCTTCTTTTTTTCACAACGTCGGCTTTAAAGTGTACATCAGAGGTTAACAAAGCGATTAGAACGAACTACGTGAAGAAAAATTACTTTTTTTTACTTCTCAGTAAAATATCTCGTTAACTTTAATAACAACAGTAGCGATACGGGACCCACATAGGTCCCGTAAATTTACGTGCTATTTTTCCCGCAATTTCTGTTGCATAAAATCGTAAGTGCAACCACTTAAGTGAATTCCCTAAGTGGACCGCTAAGGTGATTTAATGCAACTCACTTACGTTACGAGTGCACGTACGTATACCCGTAGTTGTTACGGACGTTTTATGCAACCGGGCTCAGGCATTATAAGCTACTGATGAGGTGTCCGAAGCATATACAATGTGTGTTTAACTTGATAGTGGACATCCTTATGGACATCGGCTACGTTATGGTCAGGAGGGAGTCATAAACTCGTGAGCGCGGCTGTCCGATGTGTCTGGCCATCGTGACGTCACAGCAACGTGAAGCTTGCGAAGAGCAGATTTTTCGAAAGTGGCGGTGTTATTGTTTTTCATGTGAACACTTTGAGCTTATTTTTTCCCGCGAATGAAGCAGCAATGTGGTTTTTCTTTTGATCGAGGATACCAGTACCTTATATTCCAACGGAAAAGGTAAGTGTATTTTGATTGCTACGTGAAAATTCAGCAAAAAAGGTTTCTAAAGCGTTTTGGTGAGTCTCCAAGTTAAGAAAATCACGTGAGTGTGGTGCGGCATCTCGCTCGACAAAAACTCGTTTTTCTCTGGATAAAAAGCATGAAAAAACTTGTAGCTTCGCTCCAAAGTAGTTTATATCTCACAGAATCCATATAGCATATAATAAATGTCAAGGACTGAACCACAAAAATGATCAGTGTACAGTCGACTTCCGATAACTCGAACCTTCAAGGGAAATCGAAAAAAAAAGTTCGAGTTATCGGGAGTTCGAAGAAAATAGCCGAGAGTAAGGTAAAAAACAGTTTTTACTGCACAGTGAACATTTTAACCACATTTAGTTGTAGAAATGTCAAGTGAAAATTAAAAGATATATACTTCTAGATTATAAATCAGAACGTAACGTAAAAAACATAGCCTAAATAGAGCCTGCGTTTTACTGCTTTGAGAAGGAAAGCTGCTTCACGTTAGCCTGTGGCAATCATGCAACATCCGCCTCCACTAGCAAAGTATACAGGGGCACCCAACGGCAATTTTCGGGAAAATATCTGTTCGGAGGACGATTTGAGAACTAGAATTTTCGGAACATTTGTTGTAAAATTTCTTGCTTGCCTTCCTCTCCTAGGATTTTCGAACATCTACAAAATGGTATAATTACCCATTTTAAAAGGATATTTACCCTAAAAAAGGCCACCTAGAATTTTCGGAAGCCTTTTCCTGGCTGAAATTTTCGAAAAGGTAAGTTTTGATCCCTATAATTTTCGGATCACTAGACTTTCAGCTAGGAAATCCGAACAGATGAAAAGTTTTTAGGGGATAAAAATATGCCTATATCTACCGTTTAAAAACTAAAATGCGTTCAACAATGCTATGTTAAGTGGTTTAGAACTATATCCTCGTTGGGTGCCCCTGAGTATACTCCTACAACACGTCAATAAGAAATCCAAAATTCAATGTTTCTGAAAGTTAAGTAATTTGTTAGGAAAGTCCCGGGGGTGGTAGTGGTGGTGGGGGGGTACATGTATGTATGTACACTGTATTTTACTTTCAATACCCTCTCAACATCTGGTAATATAATGCATCAGTCAATTGAAACCCCGGCTCGCTGATTCCTGAGACTTAGTGGGTAATTTAACAGAAGCCTGGTGTTAAAACACCAGTAATGTTTGCACTTCCCGGGCCAAGTAGTTTGTTAAAGCACCTTAGCTTGTGGCAGGGAATTAGTAGTTGTAGTTCTTGGCTTGATTTAAACTGCTCTCTTCTGTCAGGTGCTCGGTATTTATTAACTTTATTTTCAAACCAATGGACCTGTTGATAGAAACTCTCAACTGCGTTCCATCAAATTCATGAGAAATATCATCCCCTAGCTGAACTTGGTAATTGTTAACAGTGCTTCCATCTGTCCCAAGGTTTACTTTTGTTTTGCAGTGTGCTTTTACATTTGTTTTAGGAGTGGGCACTTGGTTTCTTTGCTAATTGTCTAGTCCTGACGATCAACTTCATTCTGGGTTTTCTTTTGTTGAGTGACGGCAACTCCTTGCTTTTGATTCTAATTTTGAGTGACAGTTCCCGGTTTGCCTAGTCTAGACTAAAATCTTCAACCAATTGATCAGTTTCCTGGAACCCAGACTCTCTTTATACCCTATCCCAGAGTAAACTGCTTGAAAACGGCCATACCCTTCAGAGTGGAACATACCTATAGAGGAAACAAGGATTTCTCACAAGTCACTCATGTTAAATCCCTCTCTCTGTCCCTGCTTCCAAAAATGTATCAATTATGTGCTGCGCATGAGCTGGGTCAAGCAGGAATTTTGTTAATTCCACTGCACCCAGGGCCAGCACGTTGTTAAATATGTGTTAAATCCTGGCATTGACTGCTTTAAATCGTCGCTATGCCCCAGAGGTTCGGGGGGGGGGGTCTAGAGAAGGGTTTCAATTGACTGATGCATGTAAGCACTGCATCCTTTACTCGCTTACTTTGTCACCAAGAGTAACCAATCGGCCTATCTAACTATATAAAACAGTATATAAATCTTAAACAGGTTTTCAGTAGTATCATAGTTACCACTAACTATGGTGGTATGGACTAGAGAGGTGTAATAGCAATGCTAATCATTTTCTGTTTTTTCTACAGGATTAACACTACTTAGACCAATGATGTTTCCAGGCTTACATGTCTTACATGTAAACAGAATTGGAGAGTAGACTGGCAGGCCTCTCATTATTACTTATTCTCTTGGCCTCTGCTACATCATCGTTTGATCAAAACATCTATGGTCATTCCAGAACATAACGTTACTGATCATCTACTTGTTCTTTTTTTGGTTATTGACGATGTGATAAGGATTTATACCAAGAAATTATTTTCGTGTAACTGCTCACAGACAGGATTTTAGAAGAAAAATAATGAATAATGTGTTTTAAACAGCATAGCTTTCGAATCAATTCATCACTAGAATCTTTAGCCTGAGAATTCAGACAGATTTCCAATCGTGTTTTTTAGTAAAAAGAAACTACAACCCAAAATGTTTTGTTTAGATTGATTATTTTTCTCCTTGCCTAGTGCTTCTTGTACTGTTTTCAGTAATATGTCCTGTCTAGACATTTTTCCTGACTTTTTCTTTTATTTATTAAGATTATCTTGCATAGTTCCATGGAAAGTAAAAAAAAAGTGTTAATAAAAGATTTACACTATAAGTATTTTCTTGCTAGGATACTTGGGTATCAGCTCTAGAAGCATAATTTCAAGTGAGGTAGATATACTCCCTATACTTACCTCTGAAGAGCAAATGGAGCAATTATTATATTTAAAACTTACCCCCGAATATCTTCGGCAATCGAAGCATGTACAGTGTAGTATAGGTGAAATGTTTGAATCTGCACTGATAGTTGAAATATGCGGACCCCCGTGGAAAAGGTTACTCCAGAATTTTCGAGCGTTTATTGACCAATTTAAAAGGCGTCCCTATGACCGTTTTTGTGGGGGAAGATTGAACGGTATAGCTGAACCTTGACAGAATATTTGTCCTTTCATTGAGAAGCGATCTGGTACCTTCAAGAACTCTCCCTTCAAGTCGTAAGCCGTTATCAAATTACCTTCAATGTCGCTGTCCAGGTTCGAAGTAAAAATGTTCAAATCGCCGAAGTCACTAGCTTTAGCGTTCCGTTCCTAATTCTGAGATATTTTCCACCTATTTATAAATTAAGCCATTGTTTTGATTCTGATTTTACTTGAAGGTATTGTTTTCAGTGGAAGGCTCCTGTAGAATCTTGCGTCAGTCCAACTGGCTATAAACGTAATATGTGTGTAACATATTTCTTAGGCAATTTTGTAGACTTAAACTGTATTCAAGCCCCTCTTAAGTCCAAACATTGACATAAAAAGATATCCTCGAATTCCCAACAATCGTATGTTTTTGTATTTTTGGTTTTAACGGTTTTTAGCGCGAAAGTGATGTCATAAGATTGACAGCAAAATATAAGGTTTAACTTATGCCATAACAGGTTAGCAATTTTGAAATAGTACTCAGAGAAGAACTTGAATGTGAAAAACATTTTTGAAAACCTCATTTGGCTAAGAAGATATGACATTCTAAAAAAAAAAATAGTAACAAAATGGCGGAAAATACGAAATTCACAGCTCAATAACTTTTCAACCAATTAAGCTTTACAAATACTTTTTTCACATTTGAGCTCATCTCTGTAAGTCCTTTTAAAAGTTCCAGTTTTTTTACGCCATAAGTCGAAAACTACTTTTTGCTGTCAATCTTATCACGTCATTTTCGCGCCAAAAACCGTTAAAATAAAAAATCCAAAAACATACGATTGTTGGGAATGCAAAGTTCTATTATCGTGCAAAGCCTCAGCTCAAACGATTAAAAATTAAAAAAACTAGTTTGAAAGAGATCCCTTTTTGATGACAGCTGGCCCGGGGTGTGGTGATCGGTAGGAGCGTTTGTCAACACTTTTGAGTCTTGTCGCCAGTCTGTTTTTTGCTTTCAGGCTAAAATTGCGCTATTGATACTTTATATGATAACATTTGCAGCTTCGCTTTAGTTGCTGAAATGATTGCTCTACTGTTACTGAGAAATTGGACCGTGAACTTTTCACGACAAACATTTTGTCTACCTTCTTTCAAACCTTCCCAAGCAGGCTTGAACGTGACGTCACGATGGCCATACACATCGGATTTTCATTCGCCAATATCTGCTCTAGTGCCCAGGCCTAAGTTTATGACTCCCTCTTGGTTATGGTCAATTGACAGCTGTCAAAAAGGGTATCCGCTGACCAATGTCACCTAGCTTCATCGCGGGCTCAAGTGTAGAACTCATTGAGGTGACATGTTTTAAAGTTATCCGCTGACCAGTTGTTGATTTTAATTGATCGCCGGCTCAGGTCCATAATGAAAAGGCCATATAATAAATAACTTTTTACCCTCGTCTGTTCGGTCACAGGGAAATCTCAGACCTCGGTCTTGATGTATTGACCTCGCTATCGCTAGGTCAATACATCAAGGCCTCAATCTGAGATTTCCCTTTAATGACCTCACTCTCCGTTAAAGTGCTATTTATTGACCACGCTGGTAAGATAAATGAAACGTAAGATTGCTGAATATTAGCCAAGTCTTTTTGTACACTGCAACGAAGGCCGACATCCATCCATCTTTGATCAATAAAGGATTTCCTACATATCCAAGATATCTTAAAAAGAATTTGTTTTTGTCGGAACAAAAGGCCCAATTTAGGCCCACCCTCCGGCAGGTGGCCGTTGAAAATCTTTTTTGGATACATTTAAATTTTATTGGAAATAAATTGATTTCCCGAAATTCTTTCACGATATAATTAATTTCTAGACTTTTCTTCCCTCCGTTACCTCGTTTCTTTTACGGCGTAGCCACGTCAGGAGGTCACCAGACGGAACGTATTCTAAGACCAAAAAGTTTTGATCCTTAAGCGTGTGGCATCCAACCATGGATACAATATTCGCGTGTAAGCCCAACAGCTTCATTTGCTCGATTTCAAGCGTCAACTCTTCTTTCTGCGCGTCAGATGGATCATCTAGAGGTGGTCAAATACAATGGCGTGAAGTCACTTATTTTTGTTCTTTGTGACTGCATTTTTTGTTCACTTTTTTTGCTATCAAAGTTATTTTCACCCATTGTTTTCTGGAAACCATTCTAGCTTCTGATGCACAATTAAAGAGAACAGATATATTCAACAGTGTAATGTTTAGAAAACAGATAAAGTGGCATTGACTTATGGGTCGGTCAGATCCTCTTCTATCATGATAATATTATGCATTCAAATTAAATTATTCTTCCAAAGTTTTGATTGGTCTATAGGCAAATATGTCACTACAGATAATTACTTACGGACGATGATCTGCTTATACGCAATAAAAAGGATAGTAAATTTAAAAAATTCAAATTTGACCGGGAATCGAACCCTGACGTTTACGATGACCGGAAGCAGAAATGCAGCTCCAAATTTGTGGTCTTAAAGACATAACATTCTCTTACGAATGAACATCCCAACTTTAAATAATATTGAGAAGGTTTAGAGTGGTGCACCTTGATAAAGGGGACTAAAATACACCACAAAATCAAAAAGGTCATGGCTTTGTCTGTGATCATGAACACTATTTCTCACCATGCAGAACTTTGACAGCAACCACCTGAGGTGCTGTCCTAGTCGATAATAAAGTCGGCTCTGAAATCTTAGTGTCAAACACCTCCATCCCAATTCTTTTTGTATAGGTTGCTTTGTAAACCACGCCAAACGCTCCTCGCCCCAGCTCTTCCTCGTAATTTATTTGCTCAGGCAAAATTTCCCACTTGTCAAGAGGAATGATCTCGAATTGTGAATAAACTGATCTAGAAGGAAAAAATGATAAAAGCCGGATTATGTCACAATTCAAAGCAATAAAGTAATAAGTATAAGTATAAGTAATAATAAAGTGTTTCTTATACAGCCTTTCCAAATCGAAGAGTCATTCCTACAGCCATGATCACCAAGAATCCGCCATGAAATAATGTTACCATAACTAATTGATAATGTGGTCGGGATGGTCATGATAGTCCTGATGTTATTTTTATGTAAGAATCCTGATCTTGGACAGATGTGTTAATTCATAAACTCTTATTGGCAGTTGGTGCACGTGCATCGGGGGACATGGCCTAAGATTAAAAACAGTTATCTGTGAAATTGACAGATGGGTGAAAGTGAAGGCTTCAAAGTTTAAAGAGCACTAACAGAGAGCTCCTCCTTGCAAAAGATAAATGATTGTAAAAATTCTTCTACAGAAACTAATTGATCATTTTAATTATTCCATCACACGACAAAAAAACCTCAGTTCTTTGATCATTTCCATAAAAATTGCAAATTGAATTATGATATTGACTTCTTGGTAACCGTCATCTTGACAGGTGCACGACATTGTATTTGTTGCCAGGTGATATAAAATTAGACAATGGCTTTCGGAGAGCTTTCGCGTTTGTCTTACGCCTTCAACTTTTGATAATATGAGGTACTGACACTGTACAGTGTAGTAAGCAGAGCTGCACAAACCTTTCAATAGTCTTTTTCTTGGTTCTCCTGTAGCACCAGACGAAAACAGCGATGAGCAATAGCAAAATAGCGAAGGTGACACCGAGTGAGAGGTAAATAATCTTATCAACGGTGGTCGCCTTTTGCGGTGGAGATTTCGTTGCTTCTATTACTGCAAATCAAATGAATATATCAAACGCCCTGGAAAATAAATGGAAGAGGAAAAGTTTCACCAGGGTAATTTAGGGTTACTATTGACCGAAGAGGTTTTTCCAGACATTTTGTGAACTTAACGTAATAGGACTCTCTTGTAGCTTCGCCCGGGAGGGCCATAGGTATGTGCCGCCCCAAAGGGTATGGTTTGGGGCCCCTTTTGGTCTGAAAACGGGTATAGACTTTGCCCATTTTGGTCTGGAATCGGGTATGGTTTTCGAGGGAACTACGGGAGCATATGAACGTATTTATCGTTTCAATTCCAAATGAATAAGAACGAGATAGAAATATCCGAATTCGAAATGCATTTGAAGAAATTTTTTGTTTGCGCTCTAATCTAAGTCATCATGACATAATTTCTGCCTATTAAATTAAAACCCATGAAAATCCAGTGAAATTTTTCATGGTAATTTCACATGTTTTTCACAGGTTTTTCAGGAGATTTTGATGGAGAATTTTCATTGGTATTTCATGGGGAACATGCCATGAAAATAAAATGAAAAAAGCGTGAAAAAACCCCTTAAAATTCAACGCTTCATGGCCCATGAAAAAACTTTAACAAACAAAAATCCCATGAAAATGCCATGAAATAGAATGAAACGCGCTAATTTTTTTTCATGGCTTTTTAATGATAATGAAAAGCCATGAATTAAAAAGCTCTTTTTTCATGGTGTCGGAATTTATGGGTTTTTCATGGGGTTGTTAAATTCATGCCCCATAAAAAAACCATGATTTTTCCGTGAACGGTCAAATATTAATGGGTCATGAAAAAATGAAATGGCTTTTGATGACATTTTCATTACCCATGAATTATGGCCCTCTCTTATTTTTCATGGGAAAGACAAAGACATGGTTACCATGAAAATTTAGTCTTAAACTACTCTCGACTGTTAAATCAAATACATCACTGAGGATTTGTTGGCTGGTTAAATTGAAGCTATATACATGTAGCAACAACCCTAACCCTAAATAAAAGCTAACTGTTTTTCAAGTCAGTGCTTAACCCTAATTACTATTCTCAGGGCTTATTAAAAAAAAAATCTACAGTCTGCACAGTCTGCAGTCTGCATTTTAACTTGACTGCACTTTAGTATGGTGTACTACAGTGTAAATAAGGCCATTAATGACAAAAAAAGTGTCATTGCAATACAAAATTCATCTGGAATACATGTACTGTATCTCCTCTCCAGGCTACAATCATGACGTACCAAATTTCACCATTGAAAATGAACAACAAATTTCAAGGGTTCCATCCTACTTAGTTTGGACAAGTTTCAATGAAATAAAAAAAGCTCATTTTCAAGGCCAATACAGATGTTTATTTTAGCTAATAGCAAATGAACAGCTGTACAAGACAAATCATTTAAGTGAAAACTAAAGTTGTTGTGTTACAATAACAAAATAATGTAAATCTTATCTTTGGTCACTGTTGTTGCCTCAGCCATCAGATCCATCTTGTAAGTACAGTGATACAATGAATATTGAAATGCAGCAACATCTAAACAAAATTAACAGCAGAATCATGTCAAGATTTCATGTAGAATATTTGATCCATCCTTAAATAATAAATCAATGGTTTTGATGATGCAAACCACACAAAAGGATATCATTATTTTTAAAATAACCGATTCATTAATGAAATATATGGATAAGCAGGCTTTGTTAAAGGTCAAGCCGGCTTTTTTGCACTACTGCGTCTCTAAAATTCCCCTATGTCTTTGGTTTGGTTTGCAAATTCAGCTGGTGGTAAGCTCTTTTTCAGCTGGTTGAACTAGCTGGCAGCCAGCTCTTAACCACATCCCTGTTAGCCTGTATACAGACCACCCCCTCCCCTAAGTAAAAAGGGACTTTAAGATCCGAGACGCGACGGCTGTAAGACGCGACAGGAAGTAAATTTTCAAAGAGGAGACATGTTGCGCATGCTCAATCCGTTGTCCTGGTGTCACCACGTCGAGTCGAGAACGTGGGTTTTGCGTGTTTGACGTTCTGTACAAAACGTGAGTATATTTGTTCCTGTGCTTAAATTAAATGATGGTATATTCCTCTAAACATGTAACATCAGCCTTCTAGGATCATTGGACGTAATTTCTGGCGACATTTTAGATCGCAGAGATGGAAGGATTTCAGATTATTTTTAAATTTCTTTCAGGTGTACGAAGCTTATAACATGGCAGCGCCTTCGACTTCGACTTCGAACGAGGCTTGCAAGTAAGGCACGAGCTAAAACTGCAAATAGTGAATGCAGGAGTCTTCTGCATACTCTTCTCGTCTCTTGTACCGTTGCAATTCTCGATTTATTGCGCTCATCAGCGGCTAAAAGCCAATTTTAAGCCTGTATTATTTAATTTAATTTTATTAAACTGTGTGTGTTTTTATGCTTCTCTTTAGTTCAGTAATGTTTTGGACTCATGATCATGAAGCCATTCTATGCAGAGAAGTCGTCAATGTAAATCCCTACACAACTAAGAAAGGGTCAACACAAAGAAGTAGAATGTGGGAAAAATAGCAGACAACTTGAACAAATTCACTGTGCCGAAATTCAGGGTTGATAAGCGATCAGTTCGAGACCACGTGGGAATCCTTGTTTACAAGCATAAGAAGAAACTTCTAGCGGAGGAAAAAGCAACTGGGATAACTCCCGATGAGCCAACGGAACTAGAAAACCTATTGGATATGATCATCGCGTTGGAGAAAAGTGGCGAAGCGGAATTACAGGAAACACAGGGAACAGCTAGCAAAAAACGTCAATACGATCGGGCTAAAGTGGAAGATGTTAGACTAAAAGCGATGGAGAAGCTGTCAGAGACGAAGAAAAGAGGTTCATCAGAGGATGAAAGCGATGACAAACCGAAGCGTCAACCAAGAAGTGGAGGTGATGCTATCGAGCAAAGCACCAACAAAGCATTTCTTGGACCAGTTCTTAAATGATGCCATGGCTATTTCTGCGAAAGAATCGCCGAAGAGCGGTTTGCAGCCGCGTCGTCTTGCATCGCGACAGAGATCTTAACTTTACTTTTCGCGCGCAAACGACGGCGTTCTACAGGTCCAGTCCTTTATCAGCCACCGCGTTCTAGGAGTCGTCGCGTCCCAGATCTTAAAGTCCCTAAAATCAGAGAAGGGGCGTCTGTGATTCACTGTTGCCAATCGTGAATGGGAATAACTTTGCATAAATTAAAAAAATTGTTTCCGCTGACCAAAATTTCCATGGCTCATGTTTCATGTCATTCCAGTTCTCAAAATGTCGGTGCATGCGTGTTATTTCCATCGAGTAACTGAGAGAGTGACACATTTCTAAAATAGGATTACTCTATACCGAGCAAGAAAAATGTTCTTACAAGCCCATATTGAAGGAAAAGATCCATGTTCTTATGCAAGCCTTCCCACTGGATACGGGAAGTCATTAGTTTGAAATAAAGTGTTGACAAGTCAGACATGACTCATGAGCTCATGATAGTGTGAAACATGACCCTAGCATTATTGTTTTGCTTGAGTTTTGATGACAGGCCCTAAAGCCAATCAAAATCCCTCAACTTCATGATGTACACACTGTAATGATCTACAAATAACAGCCAATCAAATCATTTTCCACATATTCCAGGAAAAATCACGTGGCCTCCATACCCGATTACCAATGGTGCATCACAGACGCCCCTTCTCTGATTCTTACTGAGGAGAGGGGGCGCTTGTACACAGGCTACATCCCTGCTTACCCTGGCATGATTGTAAACAATCTGCTTTAATACATACATGTAATTTACTGTTGTCAGGTTTGTTGGAATGAATTTTGAACAGTTCCATCAGCAGAGCCAACCATATATACAGGGTTTGCAAATTTTATTGATGAGTGGAGTCACTGTGACTTCTGCTTCACAAATTTTGGAGTCATTTTGGAATATTTGGAGTCAAGTATCACAACGAAAAAAGCCATTTTCAGACTTTCCAGCACGTGGTCCTAGCATGTATACACTATCGTTATGGATACACAAAGTAGCTGTGGCGGTCCGCTGACCTGAAAAGCTCAAATCCATGATGGCGGTCATCGAGTAAACTTTGATCGTAATTTGCCCTCTTCCTGTTTTGTCGTGCAGTATAATTCTTTAATTTTGATGATTTAATTAAGGTTTACAATGTTAACAATTAACGTAAATTGTATTTGTTGCAAAAAAGGTAAGGATAAAACTGTGTTTGTTACCGAAAATTTCTGGAGTCGAAGTGGCTCCCTGTTTGTTACCGAAAATTTCTGGAGTCGAAGTGACCTCTGTGGAGTCAGCTGAACAATTTTGGCGTAAAATATGCCAAATTTGGTGTATTTATAAACCCTGATATATAGCATACTGTAGTTCAACTTTTCTACCCTAGCTAAGCCAGATACAGTAGTGTAGACAAAGATTGAAACTTCTTCCCTATTAAAAAAAAAAGAATCCCTACTTTGAAGGAAAATAATATGCTCTAGTGCTTAATGATCAGAACAACGGAGTAATGGATCAGTCAATTCCAGCTGCGCCCAGCGCCCCCAGGCTACTGCAGGGCATTTGCCCGCCTTGTCAGTCCCGGGCTGGGGCATTTGCAAATTTTTGTGCTGCCGGGGGCGGGCATTTGCCAACCCTCAGCCATTCCCGAGCTTTTGACACACACGTTGTTTCCTATCAGAATATAACTACACAAAGGATTTCACTGGGAAAGAAAACAGATTGGCTCAAAGGCCATGTAAAGGCATGTTCTTGATTTTATGCATGCATGCATTTCTTCATTGCTTATCAAGCCAGAATTACATAGCGAAATCTGGAGCTATCAAAGTGAATAAGAGTTTTTGGTCATTAAATCAAATTTCTGTTGATATTATTTGAAAAGCATCCTTTCATATTTATAAAACTATTCATAACATAAATTATAACTCTGGTCGCAGCTGGAATTGACTCATGCATAACAATTTCAAGGTTAGAATAGTGAGACTTTTGTGTCAAGCAAGACTTTCATTTTGGTCACATGCACATCCGGGGTCTAAACAATTTACTTCTTTCATTTCTGTTCTGATCAAGGTCATGACCCTTGTATGGCTTTCCCCGAGTGAATCCGTTCGTCGAAGAAACTGATTTGTCGCTTGAAAAAAGGATCGTCATGTCCATCAAACATCATTTCGGTAAAAATAAACTTAACAAAGACCATGCACAGCCTCTGTCACATTGTGTTCCGCAAAGCTTATATTTCCTACATCATGATCAACTTGAACTGTAATCGCGGCTCTGTCTGACTGTGCCCCAGCACACAACGACGAAACTTTGATTATTTCGCTTTAGTAGCAAGTAATCTACAATAAACAAGCACTACTTAAGAATGATTAAAAACAAAACTCACCTAAAATCGTTTACCGAATCCAGCCGATGATCTCATATCAGCGGTGCGAAGTTTTCGTTACATGTTACACAAAAAAGCGATCGATTATGGTTCCTCACAGTCGCGCAACAAGTGACGTTTCTTAAACGTTTGCGCTAAAGGTTAAAACATGTTTTGAATCCGAAGATTCTTCCTAAACTTACAATCAGAGCGAACAAAACCCAACACTAGCGAATCCGTTAGTTTCAATTTGAACCGCCCTCAAACCGGTTTGCCTTGCGACCGCGCCTCTAATTCGAGCATCACTGCTGACCATTTTTACAGCGTGAGCGCTAAAAAACCAATCGAACTTTGATCGAGTAATCAACAGCCATCATTTTCAACTTCAAGGCGAGTTTTTAGGGAATTTACAGTGCTGTGATAGTTTTACAAGGAAAAAGATCGTCACCTACATCAAAGCGGAAGATGGGCCAGTCTTTACAGTGTACAGTGAGGTACGATATGTAGCGAAGCATTGTAACAGATTAAAGCTAACAAGATACTCATACACTGCACGTGTAATATTTCCGTACAGCAATATTCAGATCATATTTTACGCATTTAAGCTTACATGTAAGCTTAAGTCTTATGTTTCGATTCCCTTCACATCAACTGTTTGTGTAAAATAGTATGAAAATGGCTCCTGCAAGCATAATGTATGAGTGGGGCCGTACGGAAATCCTAATAATTAGGATTTAGGATTTGATAATTTATCAAACTGGACCCTTCAGCGGCAAAGCTAGAAACAATTCTCCACAAGGTACGGTTTTACGTTTTATTCTTGTGTTTATTCTTGTGCTTCTGTTAAGGCCATCCTCACCAACCTATAATCTCTTTTGCTTATGCTTGCATCGCCAAAACTGCACTTGCATGTTCATTTTACACACTGTATACAATGTAATTCCTATGATTTAGTTCTGTTCTGGTTGATAAATATACAGCTTCATTTGAGAGTGGCTTATAAAATGGTTTGGCTCGTGGTAATGAAGATGAGTGGACTGCTTTGATAGGTGCCAGTACTACATGTAAAAGAGACATTGATCACAACATTTCAACATGACATTAGTCCGTTGCAATGTATTATTGATATCAAAATTTAACTCTTCAATTTTTTTTATTTACTTGACTGTTTTGTACAGCGATGACCACAATTTATATATCAACAAGCAACGAGTTTATTTAGTCACAATTTATACAAAAGCACTAGCACTGGCTCATATATACAACTGTCCATGTGTTGACCTTTTCCCTTTTCTTTTGCAAAGGTTAGGATTAATGATTTTTATTACTAATCATTAGTCTAACAGACCTTCATGTCCTCTAATTCAGTCAGTATTCATACAGTGTTGTACAGCTGTACTCGTGATTAAACAAATTGGACTCCTGCTACACAGTTTTCTGATTTTGTTAAACACTTGTACATGTATGATTGCAGACTAAATTGGACTCCACTCAGTCTTACTGAAATAGTGAACGTACGTCTTATTTGCAGAACCTCTAATTTAGAGCAAATTTTCAGTTGCTAATTGTGATATTAATCATTCTGTGACAGGTTCAGTTTTCAAACAGAAGGAAAATTTACTACCAAGGTTCAAGCAGTGCTATGGGAGGCAACAAATGCAGCTAAGAATTTACACATTTTAGCATGTAAACTGGATTTACTTAAACCTTCAACACTGCATTGTATATATATATATATATACTTTTTTTCATAAATGTCTTGCTAGCCTCCTAAGTGTATGTTTACAACAAGTACATGACTGTATTTCTACATGTTAAAATGGATTGAAAATTCAGGGTACTACCATAAACTATTAATAATGTTCAAAATGTACAATAGTCACAGTTGTTGCTAAATTTTGGTTACCTTTTTTCAATAAAATAGCATTGTTGGCCTTTGAAGATGCCTCTTTATTGAAACATTATTTGTAACTGTACTTCTGTACTTTAGAAATGTAGCATGCACTTTTCAACCCAGGCCAGCTCTTGCCTCTTGACTTGATAGCTTTAACATTATCATGAAAGCCAGGAAAAATCTTGTTTACATTTTGTGCTGTGTGTAATACATAAAACGGCCTGAACACTGTATTTTTAATCAAGTAAGTTACACTTAAATCATCCAAATCATTTTCAACAAGAATTGATTACGTTACATAATTTGCAGAGTGTTAAAGATTTATCAGAAGAATTTAGTTTTTATACTGGTGATTCAGTTTAACAAATAGAAAGTAGATGATGATCTGACCCCGTGATCTTATCTCGATTCAAGACTATTTTATGGATATTCCTTTTTTGATACAAGACCACACTCTGCCTCATTAAGGGTACTTCAGTAGAACATTTGAAAAAGCATTCTACACAGGAAGTAAAGGTTGGTTCATTCCAAGTTGTAATATTTAACTCCTTTGTTTTCTCTTGAGCAGATGAAACCATTTTATAATCAGACCATGCAGTAGATAGCGTATACCTCTACATGCATGGATAGAATTTCGCTGGTATTTTTTTATATACAGTGTATTCAGATGTTTTTATAATAAGTATACACATCTGAATGGTATTGTACATTGCATGTTTAATTCATCTTGAGTAGCACATACATGTACAGTACAGTCAACTTTCTTTTAACAGGTACTTGGAGCCTGTTCATACATGTGTCTGTCTTTTTCTCTAACTATTGATACAATAGACAAAAACTTAGATGTTGTGCTAGCTGGTCTCACAGTGGATCTGTCTTGTTGAAAGTTGACTGTTAATAGTGCAGCCCAAAGTACTAGTTTCGTTAGAGTATAGCTAATTCTAGTACAACCCAAAACGTCCTATTTCATTTATTGAATACATGTACATTTTGTAAATATTATGGAATGCAGTGTTCTTGCTGCAAAGTTGTTAAATATTTATTCAAGGCATTAATTCACAGTGGCACTGCTTTCCTCATCAGCATTTTCATGGGAAATTAATGAGCCATGAAATCATTCATACATTTTTCATGACTCACAAATCAAATTCAGTATTTATTTCATGGCCCATTAAACGTTTTTCATGGCTCCATCATTGAACTTTCTTGGTATGTTTCCATAATGTGGTGTTTCATTGGAAATTCATGACCCATGAAAGTAGTCCAGTTTAATTCATGGGCCATGAAACACCTTGAACTTTTTTTCCACGAAAATTTCATGGCCACAGATGAGGTCATGAAAAATTATTTTGCAAGATTCATTGGCCATGAAATGATGTTCATGGTATTTTCAAGTGATTTTCATGGGATTTTCTCAAATCTCAGTTTCATAGTGAAGGCTAGGTCTGAAATTGGGTATAGATCATAGAGGTCCAGTGGAAAAGGACACTTAAAGGTCTGAAATAGGACCAGGATTTGGAGAACCGGGCGGCACCGCCCTACCAAGAAGTCCCAGGATTCATTCCCCCCCCCCCCCTCCCCGCCCCTCGGGTAGCTTCTTCACTTGTGGGAATCGTCCATTACCAGCTAACTGAGCTTGTACACTCTCTGGTCTCCACATGATTCAGTCACATTGAGAAGGATCATAATACATACAAAGTATCTAAATTCAACATTATATTGTGTGAAACAACGTTGTTGAATTTGGTGCGTGGCCCGGCTTATGGTGAACATTATTTAATTAACACATAAATTAAAACAATGGACAACTCGGGGCACATCATAACCAAAACTAGCCCGTGGTATCTTTAGCACACCAAAAATTTTGATCCACCGACACTTAAATATACCAATAGAAGTAAACCTTCCTTCGATCGCCCAAAGTCTTGGAATGCACAAAAAACAATTTGGATGAATTTTGGTTAAAATGTGGGGGAAATTATTTGAAAATTTACCATAAGGTTAAGAGTGACTAATCATTTGAGTCCGCAAACGTATATTAACCTGTAAGGAAAAATGTATCTGCTCCCCTGGCTTTATGGATCCCTCATAGATCTCAGTTTATCGAGCTTTGTAATAGTCAAAATTCTCCCTGTTTTTGAAGAACACTGTACGACTTGTCTATTTCAAAACAAATTTTAGCGTTTCTTAATGTATAAGAAGTACACTTACTACGTATACCGTTACACAGATCTCCCTCACAACAGTGCAAATGTTGGTCATCAAATTGTCGGCATTGATCAGCAGATATACAGCCTTGAATGGTGACTTGTTCGCTTTTTACTGTATTGTCGCCATAGTTAAAACAAAGGTTTTCTGGGAATGAACAGTTCACTCTGATGGGAACTGAAGAATTTTTGCTTGGGTACTGATAACAAACGGTGCCTAAAGATAAATGCAGAATAAAATCGTTTTTAAAGCCATTGAGTATCTGACAAGGTTTGTTAGCTCAAAGTCTGAGGCAAAAGCAGGAAAATATGCTGTCAGGCAAGCCTAAAGGCTGAGCTCTTATTACATTCTGAGCTATGACTTCCGCCTTCCTCCTCTTTGTTGCCGTACTTTAAACAAAGGTTTAATCTGGGAATTAACTGTTCGTTGTGGTGCGTGGGAACATATGAATTTTTGCTTGGGTACCGAGATAACAAACATAACCTAATGTAAGAAATACAAAATAAAAATGTAAATTTACGGTACGAATCGCAACTTGGGTATTTAACTGAGAAACGGAATGTCTGAGAGCTGAAGGTCACGCAGTTCAAAGTTTGGTGGCAATACAAAATTAAAATGTTTTTGTCGGAAAGAGTTAGGGACAATGTATATTATTATATCTCTAATAACCGGGCAGACGAAAATGTACCAGTTTGGTTTTGTTGGTATTCTAACTTATCTTTATTTATATAGCTATTTTATTCCGCTTTATCACGTGCACAGCATGGCTTTGGCTTGAGTGAGTTGTTACTTCTCATGCTTAGTGAGTCGTCTGCATAATACTTTACTTTAACCTTTATATAAAAGCGTATGATATAAAATATACTTGTTGTAAACGTTGATGCTGGTATTTCACAGATATAGTTCCTTTGGTCGTTTGTACAGTCCCCCTCCTCCATCTTTCCTGTGTCCGTCTTCATTTGCATACATTTGGAATCATTGGTTCGGCCAATCCATATGTACTTTAAAAAGATATTGAAAACATAAGCAATTTTATTTTAGTAAAATGAAGGTTCTTTACTGTTAAAGCTACAACAAAGCGGATATTGTCCAGCAAAAATTTCCTTTGCGGCAGTTTTCCGCCTTCCCTCCTTTAACGAGACTACCAATATGAGGCAGCGACCACACTTGTTACCCGAAGAGGTGCCTTAGTACAGTTCGTTGGGCACAAATGTGAACATACGCTTTTTTCAACGACCCGCACCAGAATTTGGGAACGGTGCCGGTGCCCGTGTACAAACTTGGTTGAGACATTGTACACAAGTAAAAACGTTTTCTCTTTGTTCGGGGGGAATCCACTGCTTTAATACAGTCCCTCAGCAATGCTCACGTTTTGAAATGGCGTTCGACGGGGCAAAACGGGAACAAATATGTATACCGTTAAATGTCGGGTTTCAATAGCATGAACATAGCAATATTTTGTACTACTGGCGCAGCACTAATCAGATAACAGTTCCCTGAATATCACTGACGAACAAACCGAATGAATCGTTTCTTTGAGGCATGAAGTTGCTAATTTTGGACATCATAAATCACCGAAAACATCACTCAAGTCAAGGAGCAAAATCAGTCTCAGCTGATAAATATAAGGAGATGATTATATGTAACATATAGATAGCTATATAAGGCGTTCAATTTAAAGAGGTTAATTCATAAACATTTTTAACCTACATCCCTGTATTCAATTACGGCGACAGCCGTAAATAAAAGAGATGGCCTTCTAGACATGGTCTGCATTAGAATGACTGACGTACTTACATCAATTTCGGCTTCCTTTAGACCGGTAATTTTCACGAAGTGACTCAAAAATCGGTTTTTCTCATCATCATCATCATATATTTTTACCAAATCACCTCCGGAATCAATACATTCTTGTTTTGCACCTGTCCAGGTATCTTTATTGTTTTCTTTGTAGCAAGACAACCCATTAAGAAACCCATCAGCAGAACAGGCCAATGGACCTAATTCATAGGACAGATAAAGAGTAGCTGATTTGAACCCAAATGTCATGTCATGTGTTACAGTAGTACCCCCCGGGGAGGGGGGGGAGTACTGCCATATATGGGTTATACAGCTATGTACCACCGTGCAATTTAGTCTGCAAAAGGGTAGTTATTACAAATCAGAGGGTTTGGGTCTGGAATATGGTAATACTATCATTTTCCACGAAGCGGACCAATTGTATAAAGATTTTAATCTAGACAAGGGAAACCGGAAATTGAAACAATTAATCGGAAAAACTAAATTTACCCGAAACTCAGTTTAATAGCAAAGAAAGTGTCGAACTAAGTTAATTCTGGAAAATTAGTGACTCTAGGATAGGGAGGGGTTTCGGGAGGTAAGTCTTGTATAGGGTAGCAAAACTCAGTTGAACTAGGTCTGGTATAGGTTAAGTGTTCCGGGTTTCCATGGGCACACCCCTCCATAAATATTCTTAAAGTACCTCCCCCAGGGTGTAGTCTTGGATAGGGTTGTTACCTTTGTGTATTGTCAGTTGATGGTTGACCTGATTTTTCAATAAAGCCTTGAAGTTATTAGCTGTGAGGACTTTAAACCTAAGTGTTGCTTTTCAATTTGATTTTTCGACAGTCATATGCAGGAATTCCCTCACCTGGATGACCCATAATCCACAGACAAATCATTGGACAGTGTAGTAAAAAGGAAAGAAAGCAAAGGATGCAATATATTTAGCCAAATTTTTATCAAATCTAATCCTGCCTCCTTAAGTCACTGAAACAACTTCGTCGGGGCTGCTGACCCCTTTAAGAATAATGAAAAATTTCAACCCTTGAAAGGTTCCAAAATCTCGTATTGTGAGTATGGTTTAAATGCATTTGTACACTTAAAAGGAACAAATTTTAGGAAAAAATATAATAACTGGTGGTGACAATTTTCAATAGCAATTAAAAGCCAATTTTTTTTTTTATCAATGAATAGCTCTCTTCATTTTCATGCTGAGTACCCTTACCGACCCTTAAGTGATCACAAATTTTACCGACTCAAGGTACGACGAGCATCCCGTCATTTTTAAGCAGAGTTCCCCATGGGGACAACTCACCTTTGGCTCTCTCGCAGATGAAACGTGGATTTTTCTTGCAACAGTCAGTGATGTTCGAACCATTTCTCGAGATTTCGACGCACTTATTCTCAGATACATTACTTGGAATGCTGCCGAACCAACTCTGCGAAACAGAATTGTTAAATGATGTCCCATTGCTCCAAAAATATGTACTCTTCTGAAACCAATAGGCCAATCCAATCCAAACGGGATCGCTTGTGTCCTTGAAAGACAGTTTGTAAACAAAATCCAACTCTTTTTCATCCGATATGCTGACAAGGTCTCCTCCAAACCCAAAGCACACGCTTAAAGCTGTTGACCAGATAAATCTCCGCGAATAACCGAACTTATCTATAACCTTGTAGCAGGAGCCTTCAAATTCATTCCAGCCAGTAGAGCAGTCTAAAGCTGATTAAAACGGAGGTCATTATTGTACGTCCAGTACAGTGAGTCTCTTGGGACTCAAAATATATGTGATAATTGTAATAAAAGTAAATTTAAATTTAATAAAAATGATAATAATAATAATAATAATGATGATGATAATAATAATAATAGTTATAAAAGTAAATCATAATTATCATAAAACTTATTCCAGAATCCTTTGAGGCAATTTTTTTGGAAAGCTTTATAACTTTGACAATTTTATAATGTTAGACCACAACAAGATAACATTTGCCAGAAAACATCTTCCCATGTCACATCTAGGGCGATGACGTCATCAGTCACATGACCATTGCCGAATTAGGGATTTTTGTTGCTGTGACAAGATTTCTTCATTGGATTGAAATATAATAGCATATTTGAGGTTTTGGTTGTGTGAAGCATTTAAAAATAACCAGTTTACGCCTGGAATTTAAAATTTAAGGGGGCAATGAACATGAGCGAAAAAAGTCGGGAAACTAGGCCGAGGGCTGTAGAGAGTTGACGTTTCACACGGCAGAGAAAGTAATGTTCTACCTGACAAGTTTTTTTCATTGCCAAAAACAATGGTCATGTGATTGGAGCCTTTTGAATATTTTAGTTCGTTTTTAAAGTACATTTTTCGCTATGAATCTGCAAGTTTTTGTTGTTTTTCTCTACAAATCTTTACACTGTATTACCCCTGAGTTATCATTATGCCATTTTTAAACCAGAAGCAAACGAAACCTGAGCCAGAAGTTTAAAAGTTGTGTAAATCGACCGATACAGCAAATTAAAATTGAAAAGGAGACCTACTCTTGAGAAAAAAAAATCTATTTTGAACTTAACTGTTTGTTTGCCGAAATAAATGGTCAACGTTTGTTAATAAAGGAGAACTTTCAAAGCTAAAAGCAGACTCGTACCCAGTCGCTATTTATTTGTTTTGGGGGTGAGAGAAGATTCGGGGTTAAGGTACGAGGTAGTCTGGGTACGAGTCTGAGCTAAAAGGATGTATTTGGCGGCCATATTGTTTTTCTTCATTCTGGGGAGAGAGATCATGTAGCAGTTCTTCTAAAGCTAAAAGCCAAATGGTTTGATACCCTAACCTAAAACAATGGAAATAACGATAAACAATGTTGTGTTAATGTTTCCTCCGACCGATGAAAAGACACCTTATGAACAGGGAGACGATTGTACAGTCATACTGTTTAGTCGGTAGCCGCGAAATCGATAGTTCATAAATTTCTTAAACGTCCCCCGGCATGTAACAAGTCTGAAAGAGTATAAATGGGTTTATTGTGAGCTTGACGTCTGGCTTCGATCAGATAAAGATTTATTTCTACACGTAAACCGAAAAAGTCATCTGTTAGGAATGTTGTATACATGTGCGCACGCCTTGCGTGCCCATTGTTTTCGTGGAATCATGAGATTGAAAAAAAAAACATGTGCTTTTGCTGAATGTATTTTCACTGATCATGTCTCGTGGATTAAATGTTGTTGAGTTTCATCGGATTTGAGCCTGAAGTCCTTCTTCCAACGACATAAAACCCGATTACCTTTCTGAATATCATCCTTGAAAACTGTCAATCACCATTGAGAAGGATTATATACCTCTTTTAAACTTACATGTAAGCGTTTTCCGAGGTCGTCCAGTGGATAGAGGCGTTCATTCTTAGTTCTAAGCTATTCGGAGGGTCCGGGTTCGAATACCCTTAAAGAATATTTTTCGTGACCTTATTTTTTTTTCTTTTTCTTCTTTACTCTCTTTTTTACCTGTGTGGTGCATATAGCTAGTAACTTAATGTGGTAAATTGAAAACAAAATTTACAGGAATATAAAAAATGCCATATGTATCATAGCGTATCTAACGGTATTTATAGCAATACTGGACACTGTTACCATTACCCAGTTCAAACGTCGAATTTCACATGTGCATGTGCCTAATTTAATTCGAGAGGTAACTGCTTTGAGATGCGACGTCTGAATCAACAGTTTCAAATCAAATACGACTTTGCCGAATATGCGTCTGAATTACAGTCGAAAATTCGACTTAGGTTCAACATTTGATTTAGAAGTCGCATTTCACATGTGCCGAATATAATGCATTAATTATAGAAACCCTTATCCATATTGGGTAACAATTTTTTAGAGACTGGGAATATTTGCTACAAAAGGATTTAAATTCGGCACCATTATATCCGACGTCTGAATCAACTGCCGTATTCAATTATTTTCTTCGACTAAAATAGGTGTTCGGCACTCATAAGAAATTCCACGTTTGAAAGGGGCCTAACATGACATAAGTTTCAGCTTAGTAGTTTGCAAGCTGTTCGTTGTTAAGCTAGTTGTTCTTTTTCTTTTCAGTAAGAGCAATTCCTGTATTTTTGTAAATCACTTTTATTAATCGGCTTGCAATTGTGCCACGACTTAAGAATCAGCTGTAGTAGTTGATTTTGTATGTCACCGGACATGATTTGTATATAAAAAAGAGCGATCAATTTTCATCCACTCATTTTAATAAAAGCAAATGGCATCACTTCTCAATATATAAACAAGCTCGAACCGTGACTTCGTCGTATAAATTTGCGGCACCGAAGAAAGACCAAAAAGCTAACGCTTTTTTATCAGATTATTTTAAGGTTTAAACTCGAAGCTTTATATACTGTAAAATGATTATAATTTACTTTTACCGGTATCACTTGTAATAGTAATAATAATAAAAATAATAATAATAATAATAATAATAATAATAATATTCTTAAAACAACGGTATAAGGTGGCAAACTACCTTCACTGAACATTGTGTAAAAAATGGTATAAATTGGCCTCAACTAAAACTACACAAAAGGAACCCCCCAAAAAAGACGCTTCTTGCTTGGTCTTCCGCGCCCTGTAGTCATCAGTTTTTAGGACCCCAAGGCAACATCAAAGACGAAAAAATACTTTCTGGCAGGTACAAAGCAATTTTGTTATGATTTTAAGTTTCATGTATGTTTTAGTCGACTTCCGAAACTGTTATGGATCAATTGCACTTACCAGCATAACACATTGTTTTTGCCAAGAACAGTGATAAAAACAATCCAAATCTGATCATTATGGCATCAAATCTGAAGAGTTAAAAAATAAGGAAAACAAAATAAGACTTCCCTGGTGATTCGTTGGTTGTTATCTCCTGAATTAGCTGCGTGATCAGACGACTAGAATACCAGATTTAGAGCAATTTATCGATAGGGTGCTTCTAAAGCTAAAAAGGTACCTCTCAAAGAATCGCACGATTGGCAATCGGCTCTGTTTCAAGAATTAGCAGACACTAAAATTAGTTGTCTCGAAAAGAAGACATTCACGCAAGCTTGTCTCTTTCATACTGGGTTCTCACCCACATCATTGCGCTTTAAGCGATCTTCCAGAATTTAACATGATCAATAATTCAACAGACTTGTAACAGGATTGCATGAGGCTTTGATCGGTGAAGTTCATTCAATTCCATTCTACCGTAAGCAAAGGTAAATGGCGCTGTGAAAAAAATCATAAATCATAAATCTTCTCACGAGCGCCTTGCGCAAAACTGAAAAAAAAAATCACAAAATTATAAGAATTAGAAGAGAGGTACTTGTTTGTTTACTTTTATCGATGACATTTTTCCCGGAGGCTGAGCAAGAGATGGGAGTGAGCAGTTTGAAAGTCGCAAATTGCTTTTCCGTCGTTGGGGGATAATACCTCCTTGCTACTTAATTTCTTTTAATTGGCGACTCAGTTTTTTTACTTGGTCGTTTTTCTTTCCTTTTAATTTAGACCCCTGGACCTTTTTTTTGTTAGTGACATCTTGCATTCACGGATTTAACAAATTATGTTAAGGCAATAATGCTTTTTAAGGGTCGATTTGGAAAACATGTCGGCTGTTTTACATGGAACTATGAGTTGCTCTAAGTTTCTTTGTTAAATACTTATGTCACTGACATTCTCAGTAGCTAAACTCCCCTAAACATTCCCCTTTAGCTAGGCTTTAGCAATGTTTCCCTTCTATCTTTTTTTTTTCTTTTCTTTGGCAAGACACAAATATTCAAACAAAACCGAATCGTTTATCGCTGATCGCTGTCCTCACATTTTAAGCAGCTGCAAAAACTTTAAATACAAAATACCTGAAAAGGGGCTTTCAGAATTGTCATGCGTCCAGTGGATTCCTCTCTGTTTGCTCTATTAAAGCTGATGGAAGAAGTAAAGTCTATATAAATAAGAGGATTTCTAAAATCTAAGATCATGACATATTAAACATTTCACTCAGCTGCTGTTTAGTTATAGATAACAAGGCATGTTAAATTTCAAGTTAATTTAGCCTTCGTGTTTAAATAAAGATGTGATGTCTTATCGCACACCCGTCTCAAGGAACTATTGTATATGTATCTAATTCCATTATTATTGCAATTTTCTTCAGTGGGCTAAGTATGAATTCAAAATAGGTGATTAAACCCTTGAAATGTGAATGTCCTTATCAATATGTTACAACTACTAATAATAATCCAGCTCTGTTAATAATAATCCTTAACTCATTATAATCAAAATACTATAGCGGAGCCTCCATTGCTAAAGACATTGGAAACCTATGGACACGAGAAAAATTAAGTTATGACGTCAGCTTACATGCCCCCGTCTGTACAGACTCTGGGGGAGGGGAGGGAGTACTCTGTAAGGGAGAGTAAGGAAATCTTGCAAACTCCTTGCGGCGTTTGTCTTGCCGAAAAGTTAACCATTTTAGAGGCAACCGGTTTCTTGTGTTTACGTAAAAACTTTCAAAACACTTGGTGAATACAATAATCGGCCCGATTTTTCTTTTAGGTCCTGAGACGCTTTAGACAGAAAGGTCGACCTAGAAATTATAACCTGTAAATTGGCTGCCGCCAAAGAGTTTCACAAAAT